AATAGACCTTGTCACGGTTTTCGACGCCATCTTGACGAGTAGGCAAACGCGTGAGAAATTACAGTGTTTGTATGAGAATCTAATGTCGAATAATTTCCGTAAAACGGCTGTTCTGAAAAAAATATCAATTGTAAACTAAAGCTACAGAGCAAAGGATTGTCCTAAAAAAATTGGGGGCGTACCTGTGCTTAAATTTCTCCAGAGGCTTGCTTTAGATTTTCCATATATTTGTCTGTAATTTTCCTGGGACTTTCTTACTGACAAATGTAGAGAAATTTTAAAAGTGGTTCTAGGTCTTCTAGTGCATGTAACGCCCTCATATTTTTTCAGGAGAATCCTCAGGAGTGAAGCTTTAGTTTACAAATCATATTTTTTTCAGAACAGCCCTTCTAAGGAAATTATTCGACATTAGATTCTCATACAAACACTGTAATTTCTCACGCGTTTGCCTACTCGTCAAGATGGCGTCGAAAACCGTGACAAGGTCTATTATTATAACTCTGTCTTATTATCGTTTATCCAAGCTGCTGCTGGCATGTCACTATTTAGGTTCTGATATGACCGATACACTTTGTCAGGCATATCCCCATCCAACTCGCTCGAGCCAGATACTACATATCCCGATATCCGGTTTGGAACAAAATTATAATTGCGAGTCGTTTGCTGCAAAAGTGTTAACAAGCGGGAACTGAGTCAATGGAGAGACTTCGGCAAACGGCAAACGTCAGATTCAAGTTGAGAATTTCTCAAAATAGAAAACTGAATAAGGAGATAAAAAAAGCTCAAAACAATTCTAATGTATCTAAATGGCGTGAAACTACTAATTTTTGTGTAAAGGTACTGAAGGTAATGAATCGGTAAACAACAAGTAAAGACAAAAGTTAGTCTCGTGCGGGTACAAATTGCCGTAAACTTCATTCTAAATCCCTCCATTATTCAACCTCGGACCCATGTCTCAGGGTCTCGCTTTTTCTAGCCTTCATAAGGGAGTTAAAACAAGACTGATCTTGTTTTAGCCACCGTCGAAGGTTTGTATTTCAAACCGAAACTGATCGGGCACAAATAATCAGATATAAAAATCTCTTATTTTTTCGGGGGTTTCCTTCCTCTCTTCGCTGTGTGCATCGCAGTTTGCTGTTATTTCTTCTGATTTTTCCCAGTTTTTACTTATCCAGATGTTCTTTTTTTTTTCGATCCGGCATCTGAACTCATTCGTTTATGTCGTGGTTTCGTTTGTCCTCAGAGCTACTCCCTAGGAATGTGTAAGGGATGGGAAAAGCCCTGGAGACAAAGTTCTGTTCTTCCCGTCCATTTTCTCGTAAAAAAAGAAGTTGATGAGAGATACCTTGGCGGAGAGGCTGAGGAAAAGTAAGATTCACTCTCTACAAACCTAACATGAACAGGATTTAAGGCGTTGTCATGGGAGCCGGACGCTACCTCTACGGAGTGGAGCGATACGATCACACGATTTTGCCTGTGTTCATTTTTAAAAGCAGAAAGCGCTGGTCCGATCCACTTTCAGTTTTCACGGCATGCCGTATAAGCTGAAGTCCCTAAATTTCATTATATTTTGGAATCCATTGGCGACCACTACTCCACCGCGACCTTTTGGGTTAAAGTGAGAAGTCTGTGAATTCACGAAATTACCGTTAAGAAAAATTTCAACTCTGCCATCTGAACTGACCTCCACAAGGACATTAAACCAGGTTTTACCAGGCGGATTGCCATTGGGACAAGGAGAGTTACTGCTTCCCACAAAGTTACCGTTTAGCACATAGCCAGACTGGAAGCACGGTGCTGAATTGTGCAGCCTGGGCAAAACAGAAAGATAAACTTTAAAATTGATGTCTTAAGTTTAGCACTTTTGGATGATTGAATAAGTAGTTTTTTGGCTTTTCGTACCCTTTTCACATGGGGACCCTTTTAAAATGTCCTTTATTTGTGAATTGCGAAAACGTCAAAATGAGAACTCCTCTACCGGCCAACGGTTTCAAACAAAAATTGCTTTCCAACAAAAATGTTTCTTTATTTAACAGTAGAGAATAGCCACGAATTCATTACGGCCTAAGACTCTATGTAAGTGGAGAATGTATCCTTCTGCACGGCTCCAGGATATCTTTGTTGAACGGGGAAAAGGCACTCTGACCCACCCGTTGCGGATGGACTGGCCTCCAAATGAAAATGCCAATTATGGGAAACAATATTTTTGCACAGGTTACCAACCTGAAGTAGAAAACATCAAAGTTGTCCTCGTCCACAGCGTTGTACATAACTCCAAGGTGACCGGAATCTGCTCCACCCCATGCGATCACATTGTACAAGTCAACATTTATAGTGTATTTTTTTCGGGGGTTTCCTTCCTCTCTTCGCTGTGTGCATCGCAGTTTGCTGTTATTTCTTCTGATTTTTCCCAGTTTTTACTTATCCAGATGTTCTTTTTTTTTTCGATCCGGCATCTGAACTCATTGGTTTATGTCGTGGTTTCGTTTGTCCTCAGAGCTACTCCCTTGGAATGTGTAAGGGATGGGAAAAGCCCTGGAGACAAAGTTCTGTTCTTCCCGTCCGTTTTCTCGTAAAAAAAGAAGTGAGAGGAGAGGCTGAGGAAAAGTAAGATTCACTCTCTACAAACCTAACATGAACAGGATTTAAGGCGTTGTCATGAGAGCCGGATGCTATCTTTACTGTGGGGAGCGATACGATCACACGATTTTGCCTGTGTTCATTTTTAAAAGCAGAAAGCGCTGGTCCGATCCACTTTCAGTTTTCACGCCATGCCGTATAAGCTGAAGTCCCTAAATTTCATTATATTTTGGAATCCATTGGCGACCACTACTCCACCGCGACCTTTTGTGTTAAAGTGAGAAGTCTGTGAATTCACGAGATTACCGTTAAGAAAAATTTCAACTCTGCCATCTGAACTGACCTCCACAAGGACATTAAACCAGGTTTTACCAGGCGGATTGCCATTGGGACAAGGAGAGTTACTGCTTCCCACAAAGTCACCGCTTAGCACATAGCCAGACTGGAAGCACGGTGCTGAATTGTGCAGCCTGAGCAAAACAGAAAGATAAACTTTAAAACTAATGTCTTAAGTTTAGCACTTTTGGATGATTGAATAAGTAGCTTTTTGGCTTTTCGTGCCCTTTTCACATGGGGACCATTTAAAATGCTGCTTTATTTGTGAATTGTGCATGAAAACGTCAAAATGAGAACTCCTCTACCGGCCAACGGTTTAAAACAAAAATTGCTTTCCAACAAAAATGTTTCTTTATTTAACAGTAGAGAATAGCCACGAATTCATTACGGCATAACACTCTATGTAAGTGGAGAATGTATCCTTCTGCACTGCTCCAGGATATCTTTGTTGAACGGGGAAAAGGCACTCTGGCCCACCCGTTGCAGATGGACTGGCCTCCAAATGAAAATGCCAATTATGGGAAACAATATTTTCGCACAGGTTACCAACCTGAAGTAGAAAACATCAAAGTTGTCCTCGTCCACAGCGTTGTACATAACTCCAAGGTGACCGGAATCTGCTCCACCCCATGCGATCACATTGTACAAGTCAACATTTATAGTGTACGGGTCTCCAGCATTTATCTCATCCATTCGAATAACACGACAGAAGCCATCCGCCGCCCAGGAACCATGGTTAGCGTCCATTTCATAGATGCTTGGTCCTAGTTGGGTGAAACTGGCACAACTTACCACTGTTGGAGGGTCCTCTGCAAACACGAACATAACTTATACAGCATTTAAGGGTTGGTCATTACCTATCAACTGTCTCCAAAAACTGTCCTCACCAGCAGGTGTTTTCAGAGGAGTACTGACGCGAGAACTAGAATTCGCTCGGGTGGTGGTGCATGAATCACGGGACAAAGGGAAGTGCGTGGAGACGGAGGACATAAAACTATGCATTGGGCTAACGTTACCGTCTTCTTCCAACGTGTCTTAGAAAACTACCACAAGACAGAAGTACAAGACAGAACCATCTTTCCCTGAGTGGCATCCAACAAAGTTTTACACGGAGAGACTCTGCCCCGAGAACCAACTCCTTACCCTTAGTTTTATACACCATTTTTGACAGAGAAGATGCTCCTTTTGTATAACTTTTATTGACAAATGGTACCCCTTTCACATACAAGTAAAGCACACTACATCCCTTTTAGCTACTGTCGATTCACCGTCTTTTAGATATGAATAAACAATTAACCCAGCAAGTTTTCTGGTATTTTTTTTTTCACGACCAAAAATGCGCCTGTCGGGCCTTTCAAGTCCCTGAGTCTCACAGACCGCGATGACAGATTTCCCCACCCTTTTATATACTTCAACTAATGAAATACTTACTGACCCTTTCATAAACCCTGAAGCCTGAAAAAGGAACCCTTTTCGGGCGGAGCCTCCCCGTATGGGCCATTATAGGAAGTACACCCCTAGGCATCCCCCGGCACTACAACAATTTTTTTTTTTTCTACGGACAGTTTACAACATATAACTTTATGCTATTTTCGTAAGTCACTTTTTCTAGAAAAAGTCATTTTTTCAAGTTGTGCCAAAATATTCATGAATCTCAGCCGTTCTAATTGATGCCAAGAATCTTAAAATATGAGACTCATACTTAAAACATGCACAAAATGCAAGCCAAAAATAAGCGACCAATCACGGTAGTGCACAGAGAAAATTTTGCAAGCAAACTCTATTGTAAGAATGGTTTCTCAAGTAAAGTGAGCGCCTTCCTCTATCCTCCCTTTCCAGTTTTCTCTTCGTTTAGGGCGAGCTTTCCCCCTCTCCTCACCTCTCCAGTGGCCGGTGGTAGCAAGAGGCCTCCATGCGAAGACAGCTCGCAGGCTAAGGCAGAATTAAGTAGACCCATACCTAGTTCACACTTTCTTCCATGGTAACCTGCAGGGCAAATACAATGGTATCCATCGGCACCGAATCCTAGCTGACAGGTTGAATGGCTTGAGCAGGGGTTACTTAAGCAAGAATTCTGAAAGAAAAGTGGGAAATATTCTGACTAACAAACATCATTGTATCTCGCGACGGAAAGCAATTTAGTAACGAAGTGTACTTACAAATACTGGCCGGTATATGAAGCCCATTTTTGTCTGCATCGCATCAGGAACTTGCGCATGGCTTCTGTTGTTCAGTTCACACAGAAGTGATCCATCATTTTGTTGTCCAAAGTTAAAGGAGACACACTCAGGCTCCAGGAAACACCGTACTTTGCACATATCTTCGTCCAAAACTTTCTTTTGTTGTATCACATAATTGCTAAGAGCCTTGTTAGCTATTTTCTCAGTGAACTGTATTACTCGGCATTCCTCTGGAGCTAAGTCAATAAAAAAGCAGTTTTATTCTCTTATGATTTAATTCGGTGGTGAATGGTAAAATCCGAGACTCGCCGAGACGCCGAGATCCTAGTTAGAAATCCGAGCCCGAGACTCTTTGGTAAAAAGTTTCGAAACTCAAAAAAGTAAAAACAAACCATGAAAAAAAGAGACTTCGAGACTTATCATAAACGCTTCCGAGATTTCGAGATCCTGACAAAATTTTCCGAGACCCACGTTTTTCGAGGTACCATTCACCACCCCTCTAACTTTTATCCTGAGAAAAATATCTACTTACGGAGAGTTTATTCGCCATGAGTAAACTGATCAAGCCCACTCGTTTTTAAGAAAGGCCGTGTGTCCTTTTAGAAAACTGGCTGTAAGTTTGCACCCGGCGAAAAGCCACCAGGAAATTATGTTCAACCTTGTGAAAATATACTAAAAACCGTAACGTAGACTTACCTTGTCCAAGTTCTGATAATTTCTGGACTACATATCCAGGCACGATGACTTTTTATGTTTTGTTTTTAGCATCTCTCTCTTGGCGTTAAATGGTTCAAGAAAGGAATATCTTAGTCAAGATTAAACCAGAAAATTACGCCCAAAATCATATCCGTACTTGTTACAGCTGGTGTTACTTCATGAAAGCCGAATGTTCAATAAAAAGAAAAGTAAACAAACCAGTGATCTGATTTGGCAGAACGTTGAAATTTATAGAATTTATAGGTTTTACTATTTTGTCAGAGTAAAAACCGACGTTTCTATTTCATTTCTTGTTTGAAAGCAAATTGATTCCAGCTGACACAATCATTCAGCTTGCGGGCAGATGTTTCGGTTGCGGCAGAAGCCAGCATGCGCTTCTACTCTTGACAAAACCGTCAATGTCAATGATTTACTTTTAAATGGAAGTAAACATGCTCACGAGCTTCACACTTGCAGCTTTTTTAAGAGGCTGAATAGATCTTAATACTGCAAGGGGTTAGCTATGGATAACGAAACTTTCGGTATTTTAAGCAAAGCCTAACCAGTTTAATAATTTATTTATGATACACTCAAGTCCTTATCTAATGACTCCTAATTTTTAAGCAACTTTTTTAAGCTATCTTATTTCTCAACAAGAGGAACTCTGTTGAAGGTCTCTGTGATCTCTTTCTTCTTTCACTTGATTTTGGCTACTCGATCAAGAAGAAGAAAAAATTTGTTCTGCTCACACTTTGACAAAACAAAAGTAAACAAATTTTTTTAAAAAAACATAATATAAGATGAAAAACGTTTTGGTGTCTTTATGCAGCCGGAGCAAAAAAAATCTTATTTGGGCCCAGTTTTAACGGACTATAACAAACAGCACCACAAAAAGTACCAATAGTCACTTTTTCTCAATACGAATAGTTACAATTCAGTCGACAAGCTCAAACAGTCTTTCACTGTTCCAGCAGTTATTAGAAGAGGCTTCAAACATCCTGAGGCAGATAATTATGAATTTTGATTTCATACCTACCTCCTTTTGCAGAGGAGACACAGTTGATGAACGCAATACATATAAAAAACAATATTGATGGAGAGAACACTCTCACTGTTGTCTTAGAGCAACCCTGGGAGTATAGTTCAGAGCGATATTGCATTGTTGAAGATCAGTAGAAAGTATTGATGGCATCACGCTAAAAGTTTAGACTTCGCCGCTTATCCACTACCTAATTTACTAAACAAACCTCTGAAGTTATCGTAATGGAAGACTAGGTTTTGTGTTCCTATTTGATTGATTTTTCAGGAATCTCATTGGTTTACTTAGAACAATTAAAAGAACTTGCAAAGGTACCGATTTATCATCACCAGAAGGCAGATGACAAGATCTTTTGTCACGCTTTGATTGTTGTTCGTGCACGAATTTTTAAACCAATCAGTAATCTCATTTACTGGGACAAGATTAATTCAATTCTAAACTTGTTACCTGGGATGAAGAATTTCATAGCTGCATGTAGATAAACATATGTAGGTAAATGTTGATGTGGAGAAGTGATCATAATTAAACATTATGATTAAAGTGACAAGCGTACGGCGTCATACTAGGTTGATAACTTTCATCTTTATTTTTCCTATATATACAGTTACAATATACAACCATTCTGTTATTCACACATTGCTTAGATATATCGATCGAATAAACTGCCACGAAACCTGTTCTGTAGACTTCTGTTGAGATATGCAATTCTCAAATTGGCGGGAGGCTGAAAGGAATGTCGGGAAATATAGGGAGAGGGTTGTTGATTAATAAAGGAGGAGATGGTGAGTGCTGGGAGGGTGTGTAGAGATTTTTCAAGGGGAATGAGAGGGGTGGGGTGATTATTTCAAATGATCACACCAATGTGGGGAAATTACTCAAAATGGGGATTATTGATCGGAGGGCGATCAATAAATAGTAAAGAAGGACAAAGAATCAGAGAAAATGAAAGCCAAAAGTAACGATAAACATTTGAAAACACGACACAATAATTGATTTTCACTCAAGCAGCTGTCTGATGGGTGGGTGGGGGCACTCAACAAAGCTTTATCCGGGTAACGCGTATACAGGTTTAAATTTTAGTTTTGAAGAGTTCAAGTGGTGAATGACAGACCTTGAAGTCCTTTACCTGAAAGACTTTTTCCAGCTATTTATTCATGTTCTGGTTCAATTTTCCTTTAGTTTAAACACATTGTCTGCATTACTGGCAAGTACGGCCAGTGCCGAATTACATTAGAACCTTCCGGCGTCGTATTTTCATATTGTTCAAAATTCAGTCACATTCTATTTCACTAAGAACTGTACTTAAAAACCAGTCGTATCGGTAATTAACCTTAATATACGCTTCGTGAAAGTTATGCCACTCATACAGCCACATTGGAGCTTTAAAAAATTGTTGATAGTAATAAAAAGTTATTAATGACGTCTGAGAGAAACTTACTACGTTCTCTCTTTTACCGCGCTCCATTTCTCTTCGACTTGCCAGAAAGTACCAGCCACCAAAACAACGGAAAGCTTTGTCTGTGTTTCTCGATGACATCTGTTGCTGCTGCACTCAGGCTTGGTACCGATGCCATCGAGTTTGGCTGCTCTGCTGATTTCCCCAGCACCTTGGGATCTTATAGAAGAGGTAACAGCAGACATGTCAACTTGTCCTACGTCCATCTGCTTACCCAGGTCATTCGACTCAGCTACCTGGTCAGTGATGTCCCCTTGCATATCATTCAGAGGAAGCAATAGTGCCATGCAGCAAGAAACGGAACATTGTGGGTTTTTCAGCCACTCCTTAACGTACTGATAAAAATGCACTGCATACTGAACTGAAAATTAATCCATAGAAAATAGTTATCTGATAAAGGCTAAAATATTTAATTTGGAAAGGCAGAGCTAAAATTTGTATAACATAAATATGATTTCTCTGTACATGCGTACCAAAATAGTACTTTCTATGCGCCAAAACCGACTCATCTTTTAAAGTGTTTCGCTTGGCCCAACAAAAGTATTAACATAATAAGGTGTCTTTTTTTTTAACGGTATAAACATTATGTCGAGTTATTAAAGAGACAACAGCGTGTGTTCATGAGACGCCCGTGTTCCCCCCNTCTATTCCTATAGTGAGCATGACTAAATACTGAACAACACACGCGCGTGACACATGAAAGGTCAAAGTTCATTTATTACAACACGTTATACCCTGTTTTGACTTATCATTTGAAGGAGTGCTCCGTTCTTTCTCAGGTTATTTAAAGTATCTATATTTTGGCAACGAAGGGCATGATATTTTAGCTAGAGCATTTTAAAGGATCCTTGCAAAATCTGTGAAATACTAAGCTGAATTCGATCCCTGAAATCTGTTACACCACACGATAGACAATATGGCTTAAACCATTAACCTAAACGTAAAACAACTTCTACTGACAACTATATATCTGGCTCAGATTTGGGAAGTTACAGCTCATTAATTACTAAAAATCTCTGTTATAGCAGAAAGAAAAATTTATCCCGACAGAAGGAAAAGCCTTATCAGACTTGCTGCCAAAACTTGTTACTCTCCTATTGGCTGCCTGTACTTAAAAGATGTGCTACGGGAACTTAACTTTATCAAACTAACTTAATACTCCTCTTTTGTCTTACCAGCAAGAAGACCGATCACCAATGTATTTGCTCCAATCACCAAAATCTTAAATAACATTGCATCACTGTAAGAGTCGTCTGATCCTGGAACGTTTTCTGCAGGAATCCTGCTCACAGCTCCAATGCCTAAGTTAACAACTGTAACTGCAATGGATGTAACCATCAGTCTGTTTTCAACAACGTCTTGAATGGGACTGACGGAAGAAAATACTACTCCATACATCCCAGCGATTACCCATGCTAAGCCGATATAAGACCTGCTTTCTTGTCCAACAAGTATCAGACCAGATGTTAAAATAACTTTTCGGCACATTTCAACCAGTTCCCAATACCACGAACGAGCTTTGTAATTTTCAAAGAGAAATCGTAAACCAGTGATCATTTCCGACTTGGAGGCAGAATCCTTTGGTGTATTGGCACTTTCTTTAGCTGCTATTATTCCTCTTCTCTTCCAAAGGGCGATGAACGAGGCGGTGGGCAGAGCAAAGAGGTAGGCTGTAGAAATATACGCAGCGATGGCCATTCTTTTATACTTTGGACCCGTGCACCGGATATTGTAATCCGCTTTAAGGTACACAGAACAGAACTTTTCTCCGGTATCTCGACAAATTTCTCGGCAAGCAAGCGGCAGAACTGTAGCTGTTTTAAAACAAGTACTGAGGTACGTCACATACAGCACGAAAAACAAGTTCCTGTAAACGATTTCTTTAGCCTGAGAAATTTCACTCAACTTTCCTTCCGAATTCAGTCGTCGATTCTGTAAGATTGTTATCTTTCGCACTCCATAAAACACGATAGAGAGAGAAATTACAGCAGCATTTATAGCCATCATTGCAAATAGGTTTGCAAAGGCGTCCACTTGTAAACCCGAGATAAGACACTGAACTGGTGCAACCTGGAAAACGTTCATCTGAAGTATTTCTGAATATCTACCGATGACCTCCAGTGAATCTGGCCATTTTATGAAAGAAAACGCTTCCAGTATACCGTATGTGACTTGATAAAAGCCAATTACAATCTTCAGTTTGGAAAAGAATGTATCTAAGAATGTGCGACCTTGAGTAGTTTTAGCTTTCCTTTTACTTGACCAGGCCAAGAATGCAACGATTACCATCAAAACGCATCCAACGATCGTTAGCTGCCCTATCATCCACTTCTTTGTTGGACACTGTTTGCATGTTTGCAGCTGTTTAAAATATCCAGAGCTACAAACTGCACATAAAGGTCCTTCGTAGCCTTTCTCACATTGTGACTCTAAACCTCCCTTGCAAGACTCCTTCCTGGGACACATATAAGGTGTTGGGATCGCGTATGGATATTGAACATCATCAGGGCCCAGTGCTGGTACTGATGCCAACAGGTTTCTTATGAAATCCTTGTAGCGATAAATATGTGTTTTGTTCCTCCATTCCCACCAATAACCAGATTTCAAAGAAGCATAGTCATCTTGGCATGTCAGACCACCTTGAAGTCCGCATTTGCGACATACACCGAACATATCTGTTCTGAAAAAACCCTCCAAACATTTACAAGCACGGTACCCAGCAAAGAAATCAGTCTCTGTTCCTGTGGTTGGAAATGAAATGTTAATTTACGTTTTGGCTATAGATATTAGTTGAGTTAGGTAATGTTGGTAAGCGTTGTTTGAGCAATGTCGTTCCTCAATTTTAAAACGCTAAAATTTCGTCATACACAAAAATCATTTTTTGAGTTAAGAGAACAAAAAAGAAATAAGAGCTTTTACGGAGACCAAATCCTCCTTTTTCGGTATTTTGGTACATATATTACAACCCAATTTAAAGCTATAGATGGAAACAAAGCCAGAGTTGACGCTGTTTTTGATAAAACCATTACCTGCTTTCGTTTGTAAATCACTTATATCGATCGTTTGGTAACTAGTATTTTCAAGCATAATTTCCATGGGAAAACAAAGGCGGTTTGTCTCAAAACAAGGTCAACCTCAGCCTTAAATTCATTCGAAGGCTAGAGTGCTAACGACCTACAACTGCAGAATAATGGTATTCAGTATGTAATTGTCAAACGGCTGTGAAAGATAGTACACGCAAACTTTTAATGAGGAATAACAAAAAGTATCTTCCATGTTTGATTTTTATTGCGTAACGTACCTTGTGGGCATGCCTTACAATCCTGACTTTGAGTTCCGGGAGCTTTATCAAATGCAACAAAAGAACCGTTAGGACATTTCTTGCAGTTCTCAGCAACATAGCCTACCTCGTCTGAGTAGAAACCACCTGTTAATTAAGGTGAAAATAGATTGCTAAGCTAAAAATTCAATATGACGTCAAACGACGGTTATGACAATGAGAATGATGAACCAGTACAATAGTATTCTCCCACATGCACTTACTCGTCTCTCAGTTAGCCGACCAGGGGAGTTAAAGTTTATTTACAACCATTTTCGTAGCATTAGAACATGTTACATGTCAATAGAACGATATATCACGTTAGATGAATTTTTGAATTTCACAGTACCGTGTGCAAGGACAGCACAAAGTGATAACTAATAACGGTCGACAGATTCCTTTTGAACAGTTGCGTTAGACTTTTGTAACAAATCTGTAAGCTGGCAGTTATGTAAGTAACCGTCCACAAAATTATCTCGAACAATTTCTTAAGCACGAATTCTTTACCACTGATGTAAAAACAAAAACTTCCGAATGCTCTTTTAATTTGTTAAACGTGAAAATACTCCCAACAGCGCTCGATAATCCTGTTGTTTTGTCGAACCAGTTCCGCGTATGATTTGGCGCCAAGATGAACACAGCACGAAAACAAGCGTCTTGTAATGTTTGGTACATTTCAGTTTCTCGTGATTGGCTGACACTCTTTGGGTTCTGACTATCCCATGGACTTTACCTCGGGAACTGTCATGGCAAATTCTTTTGTTTTTTTCACTGATCCATGGACGTTTCCCGAGGCAATTTAACCTTGGGTAAGTCGTTTGCACACTCAAACAAGTTGCTTCCCCATCGGCAACAGGTATTACGGTTAGTGCAGTAAGGTACCGCACCTATAGGTCAACTGTATATATGCAAATGAAGGGTACCTGGCGGGCAAGAGGTACATCCTTGCCTTCCCCTTGAAGTGGAGTTAGAGAATGTTCCAAAAGGACATGGCTGAAAAGTGTAGTAGTCTGTACGATTATCAATCCGTCGGAATCCGGAAGCCATGAGAGCAGTCATAAGGGCAATACTTGGCCTCGACTCTGGGAAATAGACTCTCACTGACTGGGCGCCAGAGCTCAGCGGATTCCTAAAGTTAAAAAAAAACATTGGGTAGTTGCAGACAAAAATGAAAACAAAACAAGCAATAGCGTTTTTGTTTGAATTTTATAATTTCAGGGCTAAATATGACTTACTGCCTCCGGATGTGCTAGAGAAAAGCAAGAAATCTGCAGTAACTTGGCAGCATGGTTAAACTGCATTGATTAATTTCAGTGTCTTATGAATTACGAGACCTCAAAACATGTAAAATCAAGTCCTGGCTTTACACTACAATAGTCGTATTTCTAACGCAGGAATCCTGAGTTGAAAGGCTTGTCTTTCATCAATTAATAAATCTCACAGTTACCAAGATATGCTAGGCTACGAGGCTATTAATAAATCAATTTGCCGGAATTAAGTTCAATTAATAATTCTTTTAGGGCTTCGCACCTTGGTGGAAGCTTTTAGAAGTCTTTTTAGTCATTTCCAACGTTACTACTTACAAATATATTGTGCATTCCTTGCTAATGGTGCGGTAGTGTAATGTTCCAAGCGTACCATTCTTTAGCTCCCTGAAAAATATGTAAATACTTTCCTTTCAAAAGTTACCATTAACTGTATTGACTGTAACTTTCTGTAGTTCTAACTAAAGGTATAAATTAGCTGCTTAAAGGATCGCGCAAATTCGATAGAGGAGGTTCAAGGGTCGCGAGCGGAACCAAGAAGTTGTTGGCAACGATTTACACCTAGAATGTCTCAGCAGATGTTTCTCAGAAAATTTAAAAATCTAGAGAGACTCCCTTGTAAAGGTGAAAGAGATTATCGTCGTCTCGTTAAAAGATGCAAATTGTCAATTTTGTACTCACTTAGGTATTCAGGATGGGAAACCAATGGCTTTACCCGTACGGATATGGAAGTTATATCGCTAATATATAGATTTAGCCAGGGCTAAAAGCGAAGCTCTCTTTAATATTAATTTACTCAAACAAAATATAAAATCGGGTATTGCTAAAGAAACGGGTGAAGATAATGAGAAGGGTGAAATAAACAACAATTAGCAACAAAAAAAAAACAACTTTGCACGTGCAGAACAGTGTTTTGTACATTTCTCTGCTGTTTTTTTTTTTTTTTTTTTTTTTTTCCTGACTACAACGTGAACCTTCTTGAAACTTCCTGGTTACAGGTTTCCTGGAGGAAATGTTGTATGTTTTCCTGTTCACTTTTTTTTTATTCCCGCTCATTTTCACCTTTGTGCCCTCTCGCATTTCTCTTTTTCTCTTTTTATGTTTTTTTTTCAACGAAATTGGTCTCCGTTATTTTTTTTTTTTTGCTTTGGCTTTTTTT